GAGAGATAAAACCCTTTACCCTAGAATAGCATATCTGGCAAAAATATGCATCAAGCATGATGGAGAAATAAAGACTTTTCCAAATTAACAAAGGCTTAAGGATTTTATTAATACCATACCTGTCCTTCAAGAAATCCTAAATGGAGTACCCCAATCAAATATAAAAGAACAGGAAAGAGTGACAAGTAGTCACCTGAAGGTAAAAAAATTCACTGGTAGTAGTAAGTACACAGAAAATCACAGAAACTTACAATGTAACTGTGATGTATAACTACCCTTATCCTAAGTAGGAAGAACAAACAATAAACTACGAAACAATAACTAAAACAACATTTTAAGACATTGATAGCATAATAAGATATGAATAGAAAAAAAGTTAAGAAGTCTAGGAACAAAATTAAGGTGTAGAGTTTTTATTTGCTTTCCGTTTGTCTATGCAAACAATATTTAGTTGTTAGCAGGTTAAAATAATGGTTATAAGATAGTATTTGCAAGCCTCATGATAATATCCAACCCAAAAACTTACAATAGAGAGGAAAAAATTAAAAGCAAGAAACTACTTTTTATGTAGTTTTCATTTTTATTTTTTTAAATCACAAGTAAAAAAAAATCACCTTCATTAAAGGAAGACTAGAAGAAAAAAGGGAGAAAAGACAACAAAATAATCACAAAATAAATAACAAAATGGTAGGGGCAAGCCTTTACTTAATAATAAAATTGAATGTTAATGGACTAAACTCTCCAGTCAAAAGGCAGAATAGCTGAGTGGATGAGCAAAACAAGAGTCATTGATCTGTTGGCCTATAAGAAACATAGTAAAAAACAAAAACAAAACAAAAAAAAAACAAAACAAACAAACAAAAAAACACATAGCTCACCTATAAAGAGTCACATAGAAAATAAAAAGTATGGAAAAAGATCTTCTATGCAAGGAAACCAAAAAAGCAAGAGTTGCTATCATTCATAAGACAAATAAGTTTCAAGATAAAAACTACAAGCAGAAACAAGAAAGTCACTATGTAATGTTAAAGGGGATTCAGCAAGAGAATATAACAATTTTAAATGATGTTAAAGTGGGTTCAGCAAGAGGATATAACAATTTTAAATATATGTACACCTAACACTGGACCACCCAGATACATAAAGTAATATTATTAGAGCTAAAGAGGAAGGCCCCAATAAAATAATAGCTGGGGACTCCAACACATCACTTTCAGCATTGGACAGAAGAAACATCAGACTTAACTGCACTATAGGCCAAATGGATCTAATAAATATTTACAGAATATTTTCTCCAATGGCTGCAGATGACATGTTCTTTTTCTCAGCACCTGAGTCATTCTCAAGCATAGACTAGGTCCCAAAACATATCCTAAAACATTCAGAAAAACTGAAAAAAATATTAAGCATCTTCTCTGACCACAATGGAATACAACAAGAAATTAACAAGAGGAATTTTTGAAACTATACAAATAAATGAAAATTGAACAATATGCTCCTGATTGACCACAGAATCAATGAAGAAAGAAGAAAATTTCTTGAAACATGATAATGGAAAGACAATATATCAAAACCAAAGAGATACAGTAAAAGCATTACTAAGAGGAAAGTTTATGGGTATAAGTGCCTATATTTTAAAGAAAAGCTTCAAATAAATAATCCCATGAGATATTTTAAAGAACTAAATAATCAAGAGCAAACCAAAATTAAAATTAGAAGAAATAATACAGATCAAACCAAAAATCAATAAAATTGAAATAAAGAAAATAGCAAAGATAAATGAAACAAAAGTTGGTGTTTGAAAGAATAAACTAAAATTGACAAACCTTTAGTCAGGCTAAGAAAAACATACAGAATATACTAATAAATAAAATTTAAAAAAAGAGACATTACAAGAGACACTTCAGAAATTCAAAGGAACATTACTGACTACTATGAGCAACTATATGTCGATAAACTGAAAAATCCAGAAGAAATGAAAAAATACCTACACACATTCAAACTACCAAGATTGAACCAGGAAGAAATCCAAAATCTAAACAGAACAATAAGAAGTAGCAAGACTAAAGCAATAATAGAAATGTTCTAGTAAAGAAAAGCTGAAGACCCAACAGCTTCACTGCTGAATTCTACCAAACATTTAAAGAAGAAATAATACCAATCCTATTCAAACTCACATTTTGAATAATAGAGGAAGAGAGACTACTTTCAAGCTCTTTCTACAAAGCCAGTATTAACCTGATACTGAAACCAGGCAAAGACATGTCAAAAAGAGAAAACTAAAGACAAATATCCCTGAGAAATATGGACTCTATAATACAGACTATTAAATGCTGATTAAAGAAATTGAAGTAGACACTAAAAAATGAAAAAATAGTCCATGTTTATGTATTGGAAAAATCAATATTGTTAAAATCTTAATTTTTGATGCAAAAATCTTCAGCAAAATACTAGCAAACCATATTAGTCCATTTTCACACTGTTCACAAAGACATTTTTGCCAAAGCCACTCAGCAAGTCTCTAGGGAGTTACAAACTTCCCCACATTTGTCTGTCTTCTTCTGAGCTCTCCACGCCATTGCAACCTCTTTCTCTTACCCAGTTTCAATGTTGCTTCCTCATTTTAGGGTATCTTGTCAGCAGTGTCCCACTCTACTGGTTCCAATTTACTGTATTAGTGTGTTTTCATGCTGCTAATAAAGACATATCTGAGACTGTGGAAAAAAAGAGGTTTAATGGACTTCAGTTCCACGTGGCTGGGGAGGCCACACAATCATGGAGAAAAGCGAGGTGTAGCAAGTCACATCTTACATGGATGGCAGCAGGCGAAAAGAGAGAGATTATACAGAAAAAGTCACCCTTATAAAACCAGCAGATCTCATTAGGCTTATAAACTATAATAAGAACAGCACGACAGAAACCTGTCCGCATGATTCAACTACCCACCACTGGGTGCCTCCCACAACACATGGAAATTCAAAATAAGATTTGCATGGGCATGCAGCCAAATTATATCACAAACCAAATTCAACAATACATTAGAAAGATTATTCATCATGACCAAGTGGGATTTATCCCTGAGATGCAAGGATGGTTTAATATATGCAAATCAACCAATGTGATATATCATAGCAAAAGACGGAAATGTAAAAAAGTATACAACCATTTCAATCAATGCTGAGAAAGCATTTGATAAAATTCAATATTCCTTCATGATAAATACCCTAAAAAACTTGGAAAAGAAGAAACATACCTCAACATAATAAAAGCCATATACAACAGACTCAAAGCTAATATGATACCAGTGAGGAAAAACTGAACTCCTTTAAGATCTGGAACACGAAAATAATTCCCACTTTCACCACTGTTTATTAACATAGCAGTGGAAGTCCTAGCTAGAGCAATCAGAGAAGAGAAAGAAATAAAGGACATTCAAATTGAAGTGGAAGAAGTCAAATTATCCTTGTTTGCAGATGATATAATCTCATATTTGGGAAAACCAAAAAACCCCATAAAGAAACGATGTGAACTTCTAAATAAACAATAAAATTGCAGGATACAAAATTAACCTACAAAAATCACTAGCATTTCTATATGCCAATAGTGAATGATCTGAAAAAAAAATTTATAAAGCAGTCCCATTTATCATAACTGTAAATAAAATATCTAGAAATTAATGAAGAAAGTGAAAGATCTCTGTAATAAAAGCTAGAAAACACTGATGAAAGGAATTGAAGAGGATACACAAAGGAAAAATATTTCATATTCATGGATTGGAAGAATCAATATTGTTAAAATGTTAACACTACAGATTCAATGCAATCCCTAAAAAAAACCAAAGAACCAATGACATTCTTCACAGAAATAGAAAAAAATAATTTTAAAATTTATACAAACCCACAAGAGACCTAGAATAGCTCAAGCTATCCTAATCAAAAAGAACAAAATTGGAGGAATTACATTACATGACTTCATATTAAACTACAGGGCTATAATAAGCAAAACAACATGGTACTGGTATAAAAATAGACACATAGACCAATGGGAACAAAATAAAGAATCCATAAATAATTCTAGACATCTACAGTGAACTCATTTTTGACAAATGTTGCAAGAACTTAACACTGAGAAAAAGGCACTCTCTTGAATAAATGGTGCTAATAAAACTGGATATTCATATGCAGAAGAATGAAATTAGACCCTTATCTCTTACTATATACAAAAATCAAATCAAAATGGATTAAAGACTTAAATCTTAGATCTCAAACCATGAAACTACTATGAGTAAACATTGGGGGAAACTCTCCAGGACATTCGTCTGTGCAAAAATTTCTTGAGCAATAACCTACAAGCACAGGTCACCAAAACAAAAATGGACAAATGGCATCACATCTAGTTAAAATGCTTCTGCACAGCAAAGGAAATAATCGGAGTGAAGAGACAACATACAGAATGAAGAAAATATTTACAAACTACCCATCTAAGATGAAATTGACAACCAGAATATATAAGGAACTCAAACGACCCTATCGAAAAAAAAAAATCTGACAATCTAATCAAGAAATGGGCAAAATATTTGAACAGACATTTTTCAAAAGAAACAAATGGCAGACACACATATGAAAAGGTACTCAACATCATGTATCATCAGAGAAATGCAAATCCAAACTACAATGAGATATATTACCCCAGTTAAAATGGCTTTTATTCCAAAATATAAGCAATTACAAATACTTTCAGTGGAGAAAAGGGAACACTCTTACACTGTTGTTGAGTATGTAAATTAGTAAAACCACTAGGAAGAACAGTTTGGAGGTTGCTCAAAGACTAAAAATTGAGCTACTATATGACTCAGAAATTCGACTGCTGGGAATATAACCCAAAGAAAGAAAATCAGTATATCAAAGAGATATCTGCACTCCCATGTTTGTTGCACCACTGTTCACAGTAGCCAAGATTTGAAAGCAACCCAAGTGTCCATCAACAGATGAATGGCACGAAGGCCCGCGGCGGGTGTTGACGTGATGTGATTTCTTCCCAGTGCTCTGAATGTCAAAGTGAAGAAATTCAATGAAGCTCAGGTAAACGGCGGGAGTAACTATGACTCTCTTAAGGTAGCCAAATGCCCTGTCATCTAATTAGTGACAAGCATAAATGGATGAATGAGATTCCCACTGTCCCTATCTACTATCCAGTGAAATCACAGTCAAGGGAATGGGCTTGGTGGAATCAGCGGGAAAAGAAGACCCTGTTGAGCTTGAATCTAGTCTAGCACAGTGAAGAGACATGAGAGGTATAGAATAAAGTGGGAGGCCCCTGGTGTTCCCCCGTCCCTGCGAGGGTGTGGGGCGGGGTCTGCCGGCCTTGCGGGCTGCCAGTGAAATACCACTATTCTGATCATTTTTTCATTTACCCTGTGAGGCAGGGGTGACGGGGGGCGAGCCCCAAGGGGCTCTTGCTTCTGGCATCAAGCGCCTGGCCAGCCGTGTGCAAACTTCAGGCCAATATCCATGATGAACATAGATGCAAAAATCTTCAATAAAATACTGACAAGCTGTTGTAACAGCACATCAAAAAGCTTATCCACCATGATCAAGTGGGCCTCATCCTGGGGATGCAAGGCTGGTTCAACATATGCATGTCTATAAACGTAATTCACCACATAAACAGAACCAAAGACAAAAACCACATGATTATCTCAATTGATGCATAGAAGGCCTTTGACAAAATTCAACAGCCCTTTATGCAAAAAACCCTCAATAAGCTACGTATTGATGGAACGTATCTCAAAATAATAAAAGCTATTTACGACAAACCAACAGCCAATATCATACTGAATGGGCAAAAACCAGAAGCATTCCACTTGAAATCTGGCACTAGACAAGGATACCCTCTCTCACCACTCCTAGTCAATATAGTACTAGAAGTTCTAGGCAGAGCAATCAGGTAAGAAAAAGAAGTAAAGGGTATTCAAATAGGAAAGGAGGAAGTCAAATTGTCTCTATTTGCAGATGACATGATTGTATATCTAGAAGAACCCATTGTCTCAGCCCAAAAGCTCCTGAAACCGATAAGCAACTTCAGCAAAGTCTCAGGATACCAAATCAATGTGCAAAAATCACAAGCATTCCTATACACCAATAACAGACTTAAAGAGAGCCAAATCAAAAACGAACTGCCATTCACAACTGCCACAAAGAGAATAAAATACAACTAACAGGGAATGTAAAGGACCTCTTCAAGGAGAACTACAAACCACTGCTCAACGAAATAAGAGTAGACACAAACAGATGGAGAAACATTCCATGTTCATGGTTAGGAAGAATCAATATCGTGAAAATGGCCATACTGCCCAAAGTAATTTACAGATTCAATGCTATCCCCATCAAGCTACCAATGACCTTCTTCACAGAACTGGAAAAAACCACCTTAAACTTCATATGGAACCAAAAGAGAGCCCGCATAGCCAAGTCAATTCTAAGCAAAAAGAACAAAGTGGGAAGCATCACACTATCAGACTTCAAACTATACTACAAGGCTACAGTAATCAAAACAGCATGGTACTGGTACCAAATCAGAGATATAGACCAATGGAACAGAACAGAGGTCTCGGAGGCAACACAACATATCTACAACCATCTGATCTTTGACAAACCAGACAAAAACAAGCAATGGGGAAAGGATTCCCTGTTTAATAAATGGTGTTGGGAAAACTGGCTAGCCATGTGCAGAAAGCAGAAACTGGACCCCTTCCTGACACCTTTCACTAAAATTAACTCTAGATGGATTAAAGACTTAAACATAAGACCTAACACCATAAAAACCCTAGAAGGAAATCTAGGCAAAACCATTCAGGACATAGGTGTAGGCAAGGACTTCATGACCAAAACACCAAAAGCATTGACAACAAAAGCCAAAATAGACAAATGGGACCTAATCAAACTCCACAGCTTCTGCACAGCAAAAGAAACAGTCATTAGTGTGAATCGGCAACCAACAGAATGAGAAAAAATTTTTGCAGTTTACCCATCTGACAAAGGGCTGATATCCAGAATTTACAAAGAACTAAAACAGATTTACAAGAAAAAAAAACTAACAAGCCCATTCAAAAGTGGGCAAAGGATATGAACAGACACTTTACAAAAGAAGACATACATGAGACTAACAAACATATGAAAAAATGCTCATCATTGATCATCAGAGAAACGCAAATCAAAACAACATTGAGATACCATCTCACGCCAGTTAGAATGGCGATCATTAAAAAATCTGGAGACAACAGATGCTGGAGAGGATGTGGAGAAATAGGAACACTTTTACACTGTTGGTGGAAGTGTAAATTAGTTCAACCATTGTGGAAGACAGTGTGGCGATTCCTCAAGGACCTAGAAATAGAAATTTCATTTGACCCAGCAATCCCATTACTGGGTATATATCCAAAGGATTATAAATCGTTCTACTATAAGGACACGTGTACACGAATGTTCATTGCAGCACTGTTTACAATAGCAAAGACCTGGAACCAACCCAAATGCCCATCAATGATAGACTGGACAGGGAAAATGTCGCACATATACACCATAGAATATTATGCAGCCATCAAAAATGATGAGTTTGTGTCCTTTGTAGGGACATGGATAAACCTGGAAACCATCATTCTCAGCAAACTGACGGAAGGGCAAAAGATCAAACACCGCATGTTCTCACTCATAGGCGGGTGTTGAGCAATGAGAACACATGGACACAGGGAGGGGAGCACTACACACTGGGGTCAGTTGGGGGGAAATAGGGGAGGGGTGGTAGGGGGTGGGGACTTGGGGAGAGATAGCAAGGGGAGAGATGCCAGATGTAGGTGATGGGGAGGAAGGCAGCAAATCACACTGCCATGTGTGTTCCTATGCAACAATCTTGCATGTTCTTCACATGTACCCCAAAACCTAAAATGCAATAAAGTAAATGGAAAAAAAAAGATGAATGGGTAAATAATGTATCCATTTTTTTTAATCCATTCATTCATTAATATCTACTGGTACATATACACCATGAAATACAATTGGTACAATGGTATCCATTGGTACATATACACAGTGAAAGATGGGATATAGAGTATGGAAGGATTATACCAGAGAAGTTGGGGGGAGAATGTGGGAATGGTTAATGGGTACCAAAAAATGTAATTAGAAAGTATTAATAAGACCTACTATTTGATAAACACAACAGACTGACTATAGTCAATAACTCAATTGTACATTTTAAAATAAGTAAGAGTGTAATGGGTTGCTTGTAACACAAGGGTTAAATGCTTGAGATAATTGATACCTCATACTCTGTGATGTGATTTTGCACCGTATGCCTGTATGAAACTATCTCATGTACCCCATAAATGTATATAGCTACTTTGTACCCAGAAAATCTTTTAAAAATTAAAAAAATAAAAAGGCTAGGCGAGGTTGCTCATGCCTATAATCCCAGCACTTTGGGAGACCGAGGCGGGTGGATCATGAGGTCAGGAGATTGAGACCATCCTGGCTAACATGGTGAACCCTGGTCTCTACTAAAAATACAAAAAATATGTATATACATATTAGCCAGGTATGATGGCATGTACCTGTAGTCCCAGCTGCTTGGGGGGCTGACGCAGGAGAATCGCTTGAACCTGGGAGGCGGAGATTGCAGGTAGCCAAGATCAGGCCACTGCACTCCAGCTTGGGTGAGAGAAAGAGGTTGTGTCTCAAAATAGATAAATAAATAAAAACAAAAACCAAATTTTTTTATTAATTTTTTTTTCAAAGGCTTCAGCATATACACAGATATAATAAATTGGAAAATTTTATTCCTTTTATAGAAATAATATGTTAACTCAAAGGAGAAACTCTAGTGGAGATTTTTTTAATTTATTGAGATCAATATGAATGGTAGGTTGATACAATGGACTTCTCTAATAAGCTCTGCTTTTAAGAATTTTAAAACTTCTAAATAATATGAATGTTACATTCTCTTCTATTTGTGGCTTTAGAGTTATTTTTTTCTTGACATTTCTATCTTCAAAATGATATATTTCCCAAGACAAACAGTGGTATATAAAGGAACAATAAAATGGAAAAAATAGCACTAAAGTTCATTAGTGAGGTTAACCTAGTAATCTACATAAGGTAAATACATAGTTCATTTAGTAAGTTAAATAAATCACTTGAAACCACCTTTGCGAAAGTTATAACAGGAAGAAAACTATGACAGTGCAAGAGAGATAATCTAACCACCCCCATCTTGCCTTTAATTGCCAAACTGCCCTTAAACATTCTTGGGTTTGGGTCAAGCTAATTTTGTGAGACATTTATTTTATAGTTTAAATGATGACAGCCCTTCCCCAAAAGCTAAGACCTTAATAGCTTGACTTTTGTAAAGCTAAGAAAATGCCCTATGTTAAGAGAATGGAAGGTGACTGAATTCTGCTAAGGTATAGCTGGAATGATAACCAGACATTACAATAGAGGTCACAAGATTTGCAATTTCCCTAATCACTCCTATAGATAAAATCACTATTGTAGAATGTAAGAGTGGTCTTTAGAAATATCTTTTCAGTTTTTTGCATTTCAGACCACTGATGGCTCCACGTGGATTCAACAACCACTTCTCTGCCCCACTTAGCAGTGGACTCAGCCCACAAAAAGACCATTTTTTATTGCCCTAAGACTGATCCTCAACCACTCAGCAGCACCAATTCCCTGGTCAATCAAACTATCTTTGAAAAATTCTAGCCTCCAAATTTTGGGGGAGGCTGATTTGAGTTATAATAAAACCTTATCTGCTTAGCCAGCTCTGAAAAAATTAAACCCCTTTTCTCTTGCAATTCCCCTGTCTTGATGAATTGGCTGTATCTGAATATCAGGCAAAATGAACCCATTGGGCAGTTGCATGTAATTCCTATTTAAGGGAGTATGGTAATTATATTAGATTTTGCCCCATGACATATTTTAAAAAATAGTGGTTAGAAATATAAACTTTCAATTCAGACTGCCTGGATTTATAAGATAGCTCAGCTATTTGCTATGTGACATTGGGCATGACAACCTTATAGGATTGCTATAAGAATTACATCTTAAAAATTTATGTAAAAAACTTAATACTGATCTTATCACAGAGGGCCCAAGATGGCTGAATAGAAACAGCTCCAGTTTGCAGCTCCCAGCAAGACCCACACAGAAGGCGGGTGACTTCTGCATTTCCAACTGAGGTACCCAGTTTATCTCATTGGGAACAATTAGGCAGTGGGTGCAACCCATAAAGAGCAAGCAGAAGTAGGGTAGGGTGTTGCTTCATCCAGGAGATGCAAGGAGCTGGGTACCTCCCTCCCCCAGCCAAGGGAAGCTATGAGGGACTGTGCTACTCATGCTGGTACTAGGCTTTTTCTACGGATTTTTGCAAACCACAGATCAGATTTCCTTGTGAACCTACGTCACCAGGGCCCTGGGTTTCAAGCACAAAACTGGATGGCTATTTGGGCGACACTGAGCTAGCTGCAAGAGTTTTTTTCATACTCCAGTGGTGCCTGAAACCCCAGTGAGACAGGAGAACAATCCACTCCCCTGGAAAAGGGGCTGAAGCCAGGGAATCAAGTGATCTCACTCAGTGGGTCCTACTCCCATGGAATCCAGAAAACTAAGAACCACTGGCTTAAAATTCTCACTGCCAGCGTAGCAGTCTGGATTCTATCTGGGAAGACCCAGCTTGATACGGGGAGGGGCACCCACCATGACTGAGGTTTAGTTGGCAGTTTTCCCCTGACATGCTAAGGAGACTGGCAGGTTTGGACTGGGTGGAATTCGCCACAGTGAGACAATGCAGCTGTGGCCTGAATGCGTCTCTAAATTTCTCCTCACTGGGCAGGGCATCTCTGAAGGAAATGCAACAGCTCCAGTCAGGGTCTTACATATAAAACTTCATCTTCCTGGAACGTAAGGGGAGGGGTGGCTGTGAGCGCAGCTTCAGCAGACTTAATCTTTCCTGCCTGCCAGCTCTGAAGAGAGTGGCTGATCCTGACAAGGGGGATTCTCCCAGCACAGCTCACTAGCTCTGCAAAGGGACAGACTGCCTCCTCAAGTGGGTCCCTGATTCCTGTGGCTCGTGATAGGGAGAGGCCTCCTAACAGGGGTTGACAGACACCTCATACAGGAGAGCTGTGGTTGCCATCAGGCCAGTGCCCCTCTGGGACAAAGCTTCCAGAGGAAAAAGCAGGCAGCAATTTTTGCTGTTTTACAGCCTCCACTGATGATACTCAGGTGAACAGGGTCTGGTGTGTGCCTCTAGCACACTGCATCAGACCTGCAGAAAAGGGGCCTGAGTGTTAGAAGAAAGCTAATAAACAGAAATAAACACCACCACCACCAACAAAAAAGGCTCCTACACAAAAACACCACCTAAAGGTCATCAGCCTCAAAGATCAAAGGTAGATAAATCCACAGATGAGAAAATAACTAGTGCAAAAATGTTGAACATTCCAAAAGCCAGAATGCCTCTTCTCCAAATTATCACAATTCCTCTCCAGCAAGGGCACAAAACTTGCCTGAGAATTAGATTGATTAACTGACAGAAGTAGGCTTCAGAAGGTGGATCATAACAAACTCCTTCTAGCTAAAGGAGCATGTTCTAACCCAATGCAAGAAAGCTAAGAACCTTAATAAAAGGTTAAGGGAACTGCTAACTAGAATAATCAGTTTAGTGAGAATATAAATGACCTGATAGAGCTGAAAACACAGCTTGAGAACTTCATGAAACCTATGCAAGCAGCAATAGCTTAACTGATCAATTGGAAGAAAAAGTATCAGAGAATGAAGATCACCTTCCTGAAATAAGGCATGAAAACAAGATCAGAGAAAAAAGAATAAAAAGGATCAAACGAGGCCTCCAAGAAATATGGAACTATGTAAAAAGATCAAACCTACGATTCATTGGTGTACTTGAAAGTGACAGGGAGAATGGAAACAAGTTGGAAAACACATTTTGGGATATTATCCAGAACATCTACAATCTAGCAAGACAGGACAACATTCAAATTCAGGAAATACAGAGAACACCACTAAGATACTCCACAAGAAAATCAACCCCAAGACACATAATCATCAGATTCTTTAAGGTTGAAATACAGGAAAAAATGTTAAGAGCAGCCAGAGAAAAAGGTCGAGTCAACTACAAAGAGAAGCCCATCAGGCTAAAAGCAGATTTCTACAGAAAACCTGGAAGACAGAAGAGAGTGGGGGCCAATATTCAACATTCTTAAAGAATTTTCAATCCAGAATTTCATATCCAACCAGTCTAAGCTTTCTAAGTGAAGGAGAAATAAAATCCTTTTTAGACAAGCAAATGCTGAGGGATTTTGTTACCACCAGGGCTACCTTGCAAGAGCTTCTGAAGGAGGCACTAAACATGGAAAGGAAAAACCAGTACCAGCTACTGCAAAAACACACCAAAATATAAAGAACAATGACACTGTGAAGAAACTGCATCAACTAATGTGGCAAATAACCAGCTAGCATTATGATGACAGGAGCAAATTCACATAACAATATTAACCTTAAACACAAATGAGCTACATGGCCCCAATTAAAAGACACAGACTGGCAAATTGGAAAAAGAGTCAAGATCCATCTGTGTGCTGTATTCAGAGACCTACCTCACTTGCAAATACACACATAGAGGCTCAAAATAAAAGGATTGGAGAAATAGGCTCAAAATAAAGGGATGGAGGAATATTTACCAAGCAAATGGAAAGAAAAAGAAAAAAAAAAAAAGCAGGGTTTGCAATCCCAGTCTGATAAAACAGGCTTAAAACCAACAAAGATCAAAAAAGACAAAGAAGGCCATTACATAATACTAAAGGGGTCAATGCAACAAGAACTAAATATTTATGCACCAAATACAGGAACACCCAGATTCATAAAACAAGTTCTTAGAAACCTACCAGGAGAATTAGACTACCTTACAGTAATAGTGGGAGACTTTAACACCCCACTGTCAATATTAGATTTATGAGAAAGAAAAATAATGATATTCAGGGCTTGAACTCAGCTTTGGATCAAGTGGATCTAATAGATATCTACAGACCTCTCCACCCCAAATCAACAGAATATACATTATCCTCAGCATGCCATGACACTTATTCTAAAATTAACCACATAATTGGAAATAAAACACTCCTCAGCATATGCAAAAGAATGGAACTTGTAACAGTCTCTCAGACCACAGTGCAATCAAATTAGAACTCAACATTAAGAAACTCACTCAGAACTGCACAACTACATAAAAGTTGAACAACTGGCTCCTGAAAGACTTCAGGGTAAATAACGAAATTAAGGC